TTGATAGCTACGTTTGACAATACAACAACAGCAAACAATGGATAACTCGAGCTCACATCGATCATTTCCTGCTCTACTTGAAGCTTGTGAAGGAAGAGAACACACGACAAAATCAGCCGAGTGAACTATAGTACGTATATGGGTGACAGTCTAACTTATGATAACGTAAGATATATGTTCAAATATTCTGCAGCTAATTGTAACTTATTAAACGCTCTCATAGGTAGAGCGACGCTCATGGTTGCAAAATAAACATTAATATGAAAAATGATTCTGTGCAATGCTGTTTTGAATTTCTGCATTTTATAACAACATTATTCATCTGTACCTATATAATAATAATATTATTATTAAGTGCTAAATAATTACCTACTTAAAACTTTACCTACCAGCACCTAATATTGGCATGAAGTGAAGGTAGATAAGGACTACAATATTGTCGACAGCTATCGTAACTATACCGTACGACGGGTGCAATAGACCGTAAATTTCAAACTCTTAATAAGTCCCGGGACAAAATTTCTTTCACTATGTTGGCTTGGCAGGGACATTTTAAATGCTTTACTGAGCACATATGATGCGTGACTTTTCAACGTACAAAGAGATATAAACACAGATAAATGAATATTAATAATGATGGAACTTTATAGGACACGGTGTTGTGTGCCGCTCACCAGATAGGAACAGTGTCTTAATGTTACATTCGTTGTTCCAGCCTTATGAGCTTACAATTTGGTGTAGACCTATTATATTACCCCTTACTCCTTATATTACCGCGCTCTTGCACAGAAACGAAAATAAGATTGAAAATAAAATAATGAAAGAAGAAAGAATAAAAAAACAATCACTAACAGTGATGAAAGAAGTGAACTACAGGAAAACCTAAATGAAAACTAGTGCAGCAAGAGACATACCTGCGTGACCAGAGCTTTAGGATCTACGTTATCCTTCGCCTGGGGCGCGTGGGAAGGAAAGAGGATAAGTGGGTACATACATGGTACGTGAGTACACACATGGTACGTGAGTACACACATGGTACGTGACTACATACAAGGTACGTCAGTACATATACATGGTACGTGAAAATGATAGGGGAGGACAGAAGTACACGGCATGGGGTATGTTACTGGTAAATAAAAAGATAAGCAGAGTAAAATGGGAGTCCCGTTCTTTCGAACATCCTATGATTAATTCCTCTGGTTATGCCACATTTCGGGAATGCATAGCGGTCCTCCAAACCGGAAGGCGATCCTTCAAACCGGAACGCAGTCCTCCAAACCGGAAGGCGGTCCTTCAAACCGAAACGCAGTCCTTCAAACCGGAAGGCGGTCCCCCAAACCGGAACGCAGTTCTTCTACCTTTAACGTGGCGACCCAGGTCAGGGTCTTCTACCTCTAACGTATCGGCCCAGGTCAGGGTCTTCTACCTTTAACGTGGCGGCCCAGATCAGGGTCTTCTACCTCTAACGTAGCGGCTCAGGTTAGGGTCTTCTACCTTTAACGTGGCGACCCAGTTCAGGGTCTTCTACCTCTAACGTAACGGCCCAGGTTAGGGTCTTCTACCTCTAACGTAGCGGCCCAGGTCAGTGTCTTCTACCTTTAACGTGGCTGCCCAGGTTAGGGTCTTCTACCTTTAACGTGGCGGCCCAGGTAAGGGCCTTCTACCTCTAACGTAGCGGCCCAGGTCAGGGTCTTCTACCTTTAACGTGGCGGCCCAGGCTAGGGCCTTCTACCTCTAACGTAGCGGCCCAGGTAAGGGTCTTCTACCTCTAACGTAGTGGCCCAGGTCAGGGTCTTCTACATCTAACGTGGCGGCCCAGGTCAGTGTCTTCTACCTCTAACGTAGCGGCTCAGGTCAGGGTCCACTATCCTTCTACGTAGCGATTCAGCTCGGGGTCAACTACCCCCCCCCCCTACCTGAGGTAGCGGTTCAGGTCTTGGTCCTCTACTATAGAGGCTGAGGTCCAGGTCGAGGTCTTCTACCCCCAACGCAGAGGATTAGATCTGGGTCCTCTGCCCAAAAAACGGATCAGTTCGGGGTCCTCTACCCCCGAACGGTTTTTGTCGGGGTCTTCTGCCTCGAACAGAGGTCGAGGTAAGGGTCCTTTCCTCCCCGACGCAGCGATTCAGGTCGGGATCCCCTAACTCGACGTAACGGCCCAGGTCTGGGTCTTCTGCTCTGGAGAGCGGTCCACGTCAGGGTCCTTTACTCCCGACGTTGCGATTAAGGTCGGGGTTTTCTACCCCCAAAATAGGGGTTCGGGTCGGAGTTCTCTACCACTGACTTCGCGATCCAGGTCGGGGTCCACAACCTCCGAGGTAGCGGTCCAGATAGGAGTCCTCTACCTCTGAAGTAGTTATCTATTTCGGGGTGCTCTACTCCCGACCTAGCGGTCCAGGTCGTGGTCCTCTACCCTTGAGGTAGTGATTTCGGGGTACTCTACTCCTGACGTACCGGTCCATGTTGGGGTCCACTACCCCCGAGGTAGCGGTCCAAGTAGTGGTCCTATATCCCTGAGGTAGTGATCTATTTCGGGGTACTCTACTCCTGACTTAGCCGTCCAGGTCGGATTCCTCCTCCCGACGTAGACGCGCTGAAGTCGAAAGCATCGGCGCTAGTTTGTCAAAGCTATCAAATGAATGTTTGGGCATGAAGTAGAAATAGAGTGAGAGGAGCTGAAGGTCTAAGGAGCCATTAATCACAAACGGACGTGAACAATATCCTCTGATGACGTAGCAAGGGCAGCGGATGCGGATAGGCGGTTTTCCTGTTTCATGATCTCCCATTCCATATGTCAGACTCAATGGATAACAATGAGTGTTCTCTCAGTCAAGATCTGACTCACTGGATAACAATGAGTGTTCTCTCACTCATAATCAAACTCCCTGAGTTAAAATGAGTGTTCTCCCACTCATGATCAAAACCACTGAGAAACAATGAGTGTTCTCTAAGTCTAAGTCTAATTAACAGAATAACACTGAGTGAGTTTAGCCCTGATAGAGATTCATGAATCGTGTATTTCGAGAGCCATCATCACAGGGCTATATTTCCTGCATATCGTAAGCCGAGGATGTGACGTGTGGTACGGCAAGTTCGACATGTGTCTTCACTGTGTAGTTTTATGTGTGTGTCTGACGTGTGTAGTTTCTTGTGTGTGTTTGACGTTTGTAGTTTTATGCTGTTAAAGATCTAAATTATTGTCTTGGGGTGTGCTTCAACTTGGGCAGGGTGGCCCAGTAGTTAAAGTTCAGAGTACCAAGATTGGCGCACTAGAGAGGCGCGGGTTCGATCCAAGCTCTGTGCGCCAGTTTCTGGTCAGAATCGGCAAGGAGGCCGGGCGGTTAAGCACAGCAGAATTGTAGCAGTGAGTTGCGAGTTCGAGACCGCAAAATGCTGTGGATGTTTTGCGATGTTAAGAATCGGCGACAGGCCTACGGCCTACTAAACGCTTAAACCGCTATTATTATATTATTATTAATGTATGCGTAGCGAGATAAAATTTACGAGTGGTGTGATAACATTCGAAGTGATAAATTAGATGTATGGTGCGTCACACTTGACGTGTTGAGTGACATACTCGACGTGTGGTGTGACACATTTGACGTGTGGTGTGACACAATTGACGTGCGGTGTAACACATTTGACATGTTGTGTGACAATTGACGTGTGGTGTAACACACCTGACGTTTAGTGAGACACACCACTTGACGTGTAGTATGACACACTCAGTGTGTGGTGTGACTCAGTTGGCGTATGTAGCGTGTGTGGTGTCAGCGGAAAATCGCTGCTTGTGATGTCATCACAGGAAATCCGTTTCGACTTCAAAAGCTGAGTCCCAGACTCCTTCTGTTGGCAGTTGGCAGCACCAGGCTCCCAAGATGGTATCCACACACAGTTAAATTAATTCGCACAGCATTAAGTGTGATTATTTCTAGTGGCGTTGATGATTTGTGGTGAAACGCTTATAGATGGAAACTGTGATGTACAGGGTGTACCAGAATTAACTAACCCTTTTAATTTGTTAATAAATAAAAAACTAAGAACGTTATGAAGTTGAAACTTGTTTTATTTAAAAGAAGAACATTTTTATGGTAATATTGTATCTTAGTTTTTAAATATAATATCTTTTAAATGCCCACCACAATTGTTTTGACAAAATGGGGCTCTTCTCTTCGTTGCTTTCATAACCTTCATTAGTGTTTCTGGCGGGAGTGAAAATTTTTGATATCCGCAAATTTTCGATAAAGAGATTTAATTGTGTTTTTTGAAGGATCCTTGATTTGAAATGGATCCTATAATCACGTTGAACTTCTGTTATTGACATCGTTATTGACTGTAGCGATAATTTCCGTTCTTTCTTCTTTGCTGTAGCGAATCATGATGAAAATTTAAGGCTTGATAATTAAACACAAATTTAGCAAGCTATACAGGATAATGACGTAACTATGATACAATATTACCATAAAAATGTTATTCTTTTAAATAAAACTAGTTTCAACTTCATAATGTTCTTAGTTTTTTATTTATTAACAAATTAAAAGGGTCAGTTAATTCTGGTACACCCTGTATTTATTAATCTATTGCTAAGTTTAACGCGTTTTTATTGAACTACTAGATCACCTGATCCTCTATATGCTTGCGTGGATTTAACAAACTGCTACATCCAACTATGGATGTACTACGCTATGCTGCCACATTTATTGTTGTTTATTTCAACTGTGGATTTAATTAACTGCTAGATCTATTGTTGCTCTATGCTACCATGGAAATGAACGGCTATATCTCTATTATTATTCTATTCTACTATCTATTACATTCATTTAAAGAGTAATTTTCCTGGAGACTCAAGGAAATTTTGTTGTATGCCAATATTTCTTACGACATTATCTTCAAGCATTAGTGGGGATCAGAAATCGTATTCAATAACATGGGAATATTCAGCTTAAAATTTTGTCGTCTTCTTCGTTCGATCCTTACTGTCGTCGATACTAAGTTTAAGAAGGCCGAGTGCTTACCATACCAAGACTGAAGCAGTGAGTTGCGGGTTAGATTCCAGCTACCTGCAACAGTTCTGGTTAAATCTGCGAGGAGGTCGGGCGGTTAAGCCCAGCAAAAGTTAGAGCAGTGAGTCGCGTGCTCGAGACTCGTAACAAGCTGTGAAAATTTGGCGATGTTCAGAATTGACAACAGGTCTAGAGGCCTAATCAACGCTGGCACCGCTACTATTTATAGTACATTATAAACCTATCCAAAGTTGAATTAATTCTCAATAAGGCTTGTTACGGTGAGTAGGTGACTTAAATAAAAATTTAATCACAAATCGTGGTTTAATCCAAATTATTCTTCAGCAGAATCACAGTGGAGTTGAGCCAACTCTTTTAAAAATAGAGAAGTTGGGCGGCGTTTTGAAGAAAGCAAAGTATAATGAAGACCACAAGCCGTAGAATGGTGACGTTGGTGGTGTTGTTGGCGACTGCTGGGGCAATGGTGTCTTGTTTCCCGAACGATCCCCGCACCAACACCCACTTCACTTCGGGTTCTTTCGATTTCCCTCGCGAGGGGGAATACGACCCTCGGGGGAATGGCAGACAACAACCCCACAACTACGACAACAATAACAACGGATGGTTGGTCAACAAAAACCGGGGGCGCGGGAACAACTGGGACCCGAACTCAAAATTCGACGGTGGAGTAAATGCAAGACCTGTTTCTAACATCCAGGACCACCCTAGTTTAAACTTGGACGACATCGACAACGACAACCGCGTGCCCGTCCGCAACTTCGGTAACAATAGAAACGATAGATACAACAACAACCGCTACAATCACAACAACAATATTTTTGGGGGAGCCCCAATGCCCGGAATCCTTCCCCACCAACCCACATTGCTCGATGCTCATCTTCGCCCCCAACTGCCCCGACACGAGGGGAACGCGCAGTCCGGCCCAACCAACCCCAACCAGCCCCTTGATGTGGGACCGGGTGAGTCTATAGCCCACTGCTGGTCCGCTGATAACGGCCGCTACAGCAGTTATTATACTACTGTTATTGCAGCTGTTAGAACGTCAGTTGTAGTAATGGCCTCTTTAGCAGTTATAATCAGACCATTGTATCGGTTTTAGAACGTCAGTTGTAATAACGACCTCTACAACTATTTTTGATTATATTACCTTCCGACTTATGGCTTACTCAAATACAAGTTTGCGATTACCTTATGACTTAATACACGTAGAATTAAACATTTGTTCTCACCTCACGACTTATGAGTTGCAGATTATTAAAGGCTTGTGTTCACTTTACGAATAATGAATTATAGATTATTGAAGGTTGTAAGCACCTTGCGATTGATGACTTGAAGAATTCGAGGGTTGTGAATACAGGAAGGACTTGTAGCATTCGAGGGCCTTAAGGACAATATGACTTATGACTTGCAGCATTCGAGGGCCTTACGGACATTATGACTTATGACTTGCAGCATTTGAGGGCAGTAAGGACATTATGACTTATGACTTGCAGCATTTGAGGGCAGTAAGGACATTATGGCTTATGACTTGCAGCATTCGAGGGCCGTAAGGACATTATGACTTATGACTTGCAGCATTTGAGGGCTGCGAGCGTCATCCAGGCCCTCAGAACGCCGAGTGGATGCAGGAGGGCCACTACCAGACGATAGCCCAGCCCATGCAGCATGGCAGCCACATCGCGGTCTACCCTCTCACCACCCTCGCCCCCAGCTACACCCTCAAGATCACCATGCCTAGTGTCAACTATCAGGTGTGTGGTGGGTCATGTGTGGTACACTGGTATGAGAGTGCGATGGGTCACGACTGTAAGTTACTTTGCAAGGTACCATTGCTTGCTTCTGCCGGCCATTAGCGGAGCAAAAGCGGACAAACCAAGACTGTGCTCAAGAACGTATTCAGTTGATTATATAAATCGACTTATCCAGTCGATCCTGGAAAGTAGGTCAGCTCCATCGACTAGGCATTGGACACTGGATACCCTATTGGGGCCGATACGGAAGATTAAGATCCCTCCCGAAGGATCTTAACTCAGGCCACAGCTCTGTTGCTCGATGGGCAATCCTGCACAGTCTTCCTATTCTTCCATTTCGATATATCACTGTCCTGACGGTCTCACTTCTAATGTTAAGGGATGGTCTGGTTATCATCTTCTCCGTGCTCAGAATGATATCCCTTTCCCTTCATATTTCTAATGATTACATTCCCAGTGGCACCAGTCACTGCCGTAGTCCAGCTCCCGCTTGCCGTTGATTCTGGACGTAAAAGCTTGCCTGACTGTATCCACACAGTGTAAATTCAGGTTTCAGTTTGGGCCGCCGCAGCCTCCATTAATTGATTCAGCTTGGAGGTTAATCAGGAGCGAATTGCTGCTCCACACTCGCCTTGAACGGCGACCAGGCTGGCAAATTAGAAGCCAATAGGGCTTTAATGTATTGTATGGAAGATTCAGTTGGTTATTAAGAATATGGGTACGGCGTTAGTAATGGGGTGTGAATGTCAGGTGTGCTGTGTCTGGTTCACTAGTTCGTTTATTTCTGATTTCATTTCATTTTTGCCGTCTAAAAATATAAATAAATTTAGAAAAGTTCAAGTTTGAATTATTTGCTGAATAAATATTGTCCGTCTTCTCGTAGGTCGCCATCCAAGGTACCCACGTGAGGCTCGAGAAATGCGGCACCAAGAGAGGGCGCTGCGAAGTGCAGGACGAGAAGGCGACCAAGAGCAAGGACCTACTGCGACCACAGACATGGAACTACTTCTACTCACAAGTTCTACCTAACCAGGTCACTACTTCTACTCACAAGTTCTACCTAACCAGGTCACTACTTCTACTCACAAGTTCTACCTATTCAGGTCACTACTTCTACCTAACCAGGTCACTACTTCTACTCACAAGTTCTACCTAACCAGGTCACTACTTCTACTCACGAGTTCTGCCTAACCAGGTCACTACTTCTACTCACAAGTTCTACCTATCCAGGTCACTACTTCTACCTAACCAGGTCACTACTTCTACTCACAAGTTCTACCTAACCAGGTCACTACTTCTATTCTACTCGCAAGTTCTACCTAATCAGGTCGCTATTTCCACTCACAAGTTCTACCTAACCAGGTCACTACTTCTACTCGCAAGTTACATCAGACCAAATAGCTACTTCAACTAACAGCGTCGTTATTTCCACTGATTTCTTAACCTTTTCGTTATTTTTCCTATTTTCCTAACCATTTCTTATCTTAACTGTTTTTCAACCTCGTTGTTCGTTCTGCAACTTCCTTAACCACGTCGTAATTTTCACTGCTTTTCTTACCAAGTCGTTACTTCTGTTCTTCCTATTAGGTAACCTCTTATACAAGCATCTATATGTACAACCAGACAGAGCTGTAGTGTCAAATTGCATTGGCTTCCATACATTAAGTAAGTAACTATTTAAATCATTCTTACTTTCCTAGACATGCAGAGCAACACATATTAGGCCGTCCTTTGATTTTTCAACAACCTTACTTCCATTCTCAAGTAATTTTGTACTGTACGTTTCTATATTAACTGAATTAAATGGCTTTGGTTGATAATTATCACACTTATTACACAAGAGTCATTTTAGGCTCCCTTATCTATCCTTATGCGTTGACATTATAATTTTTTAGATACATCTGACGCTGCTATAGACCTGTAAACGGTCATGCTAGGCTAGAAGGAGCCTCGATTAGATTTATTTATATAACATTCAGTATCTGTAACAGAGGTTGACTATAAACAGAATGAAATTAGTTAATTATTAACTGTAAACGGTCATGCTAGAGGGAGCCTCGACTAGATTTATTTATGTAACATTCAGTATCTGTAACAGACGTTGACTATAAACAGAATGAAATTAGTTAATTATTAATAATCAACTGCAATACAGGTAACCTCAGCTTCCCTAATAAATTAGTAGAAACTGGTTCCTTCTTGAGAAATGGAGAGATGAACGAAAGTTTAATCTCAACCAAACTTTTATAAACTGCAATCATCCTGCTGTACTAATATCATGATGATGTGTATTTATAAGTGCAAACAGCACTTAATTGTTTATTGTAGCTTACAAAAATTCAAATGGTCGTGTTAAAACGATCTCAGCGCATTGTATGTCTGTGGCTACTATGTTGTACTTCCCTAACAAAATTTAGAGTCGCCCCAGCTTCTGGTAATCCAAATCAGAAGCTGCTGCGTCTGTAAATTTTCACTGTCTCAACCCAGTAAAAATTTAGAGACGCGGCAGCTTCTGATTTGGATTACCAGAAGCTGGGGCGTCTCCAAATTTTGTTAGGGAATGCATTTCTAAGTCTATTAATGTCGCATATGTTCATCTGTGTTTTTTTCAGCTGACCATCGGCATCAACGAGGAGGTTGAAGTGATGTCCATGAATGACATCCCAACGGATGAGCTGAAGGAGGCGGAGTGGTTGGTGATGACGGGGGATGGCAGGAGTGATGATGGGTCATCACACGCCTCTGGAGATGGTGCTTTTGTGGCACAATACCCCTGTGCTGGTAGGTGATGCGAAACATCATAACTGCACCAATCAGGTGTGCGGTATACATGGTGCAGTACTCGTAATGGTATGTTATACAACGCATCATAACTCCAGCAGGACTCCAATATTGTTTGGTATTTCACACTGCAGGCCTCAGACGAGGCTGGACATGATGCGCTTGGGGAGTCGAAATGTTCTTAAATTTACCAAAATTATCCGAGGAAATGACTTAAGGTATGCGTTAATTATGCTCTGCATGCAAAGCGTACAGTAAAATCTAAGAATTTTCTTAAGCCAAACTGACTTCTGAAATTTTGCAAGATTTACTTAGTCTAAAGGGAGTTCTGTAAATTATTCACGAGACTGTGACTTGTGTAAGTCTACGACAACGATGCAAGTTACTGCCGAGTTACTAGAATACTGACGTTACTTAAGTTTTCTAAATACCTATGTCAAACTCATACGTTTTTTATAAATTATAATTTGTTTATTGCAGGTACTGGGCTTGCTCCATTTTTCAATGATGACTGTAATACAATTTAACGCTATACTTAATTGTGTCAATATTTCAATGATTCATCACAATTACAATATTTTTCTTCTCCCCAGAGTACGTGGCTGCGCATATGCCGACAACTCCATACCCCGGGCGGCAGCCTCCTTCACCCAATTACAACCCAACCCGACCCTCATACAACCCTCACGCCCCTGGTTTACACCCTAATAACCCCACGATGCCTGGTGCAACCCACTACAACCCCTTCGACCCCATGGATACACGCACTGACCCACACTCCCACACGCACGTCAACGACACGCACACCACGCAGTACCTACACACCACGGACTCACCTTCCTTCACCGACGCAGTGTGTTAGTAGCTTGACTCACTTCTGTCTGTTATTATAACTTCAGCAGCAAAGCAATCAAATTGAGTGCGAATTTCAAGAATAAATATTGAACTCTGAAACTTAGTGAATATTGCCAAGTTTCCCAATATTTAGTATTTGCTTTGCTAATCAACGCACGTTGATCTAATCTAGCAAATTTAGACACCAGAGAATTCCATGAAAATATTCAACTCAATAAAAAGTCATTTCACGGAATCCTCTAATTTTGAACCATAAAGTATCCATAACGCTGTCAATATCATATTTTTTTGTAATTTTATCTATCATTTTACACACGTTAAATTATATTTGCTTTATATATGGAAGATGTGAATTAAAAATTCATGAAATTTACAATAGAACTTTTTAATGGCAGTTCACACCACGGCCGCGCCAGAGCAGGAGGGAGGCGCCAGCGCGGCTCTGATCGTAGGTGTGATCGTGGCCATCCTCATCGTGATCTTGATCGTAGCGATCGTGCTGACGGTGATCAAAAAACAGCGCAGCATGACTGTTAACGAGGGCACTCCGCTGAGCGAGCAACAGACGTCCGCAAAACAGGAGCAGCAACAGGCGAAATAAACGCGCGAGGGGAAGAGAAGAACATAACAGAGATATAATACAACAGGGAGATTAAAAACAGCTGGTCATTAACAGAGATATAATACAACAGGGAGATTAAAAACAGCTGGTCATCAACAGAGTGATAAATTATAATACAACAGAGATATGAACAACAGCTGGTGATGATTTAATCAACAGAGATATAATACAGCAGGGAGATTAACAACAGCTGGTGATGATTCGTCAACAGAGGGATGGTGTAACAGAGAGATTAAAAACAGCTGGTGATGATTCATCAACAGAGAGATAATACAACAGGGACATTAAAAACAGCTGGTGATGATTTAATCAACAGAGCGATGGTGCAACAGAGAGATGAACAACAGCTGGTGATGATTCATCAATTGGATTTTAGGAGGTACGGCTGAAGACTACACTAAAAATATAAAGCAAATAGCGGATTTAATTCAACACCATGCATAGGTAACGCCAGCAGAGCTCGGTCACTACAGATTTCGAACAGATAAGTGCATTTTATTGATAGTGATTACGTAATAATGACTGTCATTACGCAACAATGACTGTCATTACGCAATAATGACTGTCATTAAGCAATAATGACTGTCATTACGCAATAATGACTGTCATTACGCAATAATGACTGTAATTACGCAATAATGACTGTCATTACGAAATAATGACTGTCTGACTGTCATTACGCAATAATGACTGTCATTACGCAATAATGACTGTCATTACGCAATTTCCGTTGAATTTCCGTTGATTACGCAATTTCCGGTTGAAATTTCCGTCAGGTTAAGTTGAAATTGCCGTTGAAATAGGATGACGTCTAGTTAGTAGGCGTTGACGTTGGATTTGCTGCGAGTTTACAATAATTAATGCTAAACAAGCCAAGTTTTTGGTTAATCATCTTCTGAAGTATAGAGGATGAATGCAGAATTTGTATTTGATTTCTAATTTAAGTATGATGTTCAATAATTTTTCAAATGGCTATGGTTTTATAACGTTTATTTATCTTTCTATGACTATTAATTTCCGCTTAATCAATAATAAAATCTTAATTTTTTATAAATTTCATAACCTCATCTACAATTAATGTGTCTTCTGCACTTTAATGGATTTAAATATGAACGAAAAACAGTAATATAGCAAGTTTTTTGCAAGTAGCTAGCGCCAGGACCGAACCCGCCCTCTGAGCGGCAGCCATATATGTGACATGTTGAAGTAAGTGTGATAAATAACTGTTATAATTTATCTTATTTGCTTATCACTCGATTACCAGCGTACCACATTGCAACAGAAATCATGAGCATTTGTTCTTTCGATCACATTATTTTTTCGTGGAACAAATTAAGCGTCTCACCGGAACGCTTTAACTTGAAAGTGGAAACGGAGTCTACGACATATTTATAATATTCACTTGAGTTTTGCTTACTCACAATTATAGAGGTGAGTAAAACCAGGCTTGAAAGCGTTCATGTATGTACTGGCAAATGCAGACATCCACATTCAAGAAAATTCATGGCAAAATCTTGGCTGGGTAATCGGTGACCGTCCCATCGACCTGTCACCGATTATTTCATCGACCTGTCACCGATTATTTCTATAATAATGTAGGGACGAATGTACACGGTATGCACACAATTTTTGTAAACAACATTATCGTACAATTTACACACATATGAACAAAGCTGGCTTGTATTTAGACAATATGTACAGGGAAGACGCATATAAAAACATATAGATTTCATGGAACTGATCTGGTCGCAGTTACTGGCACGAATTTTCACTCTGACCCATTTAATATTTCGCCTAAACATCAAAAACAAATTGTCAGGCAGTGCAATTTATTCTTGCCGATTGCCAATGTATATTTTACCTGACTATTTGAAATATAGTTGTTTAAGGGTAATTGTGGAGCTATTGTTATCTCAACAAATATTAAAAATGGACTGACAGGATTAAATTTGGCTTCGATTATTCCTATAGCAAAGAGAATATCAACATAATTATTTGTTAATTTTATTATAGTTTATTTTATGAAAACCATTAACAATCGATTAGGAATTCATTATCAAAATTTAATTATTATTAAATGAGATTAATCAGAGTCAGTCGAAATAAGTAAATGAATAATAAATGAATTTAATACTACCTTAATTTGATGTCATTATTCGGTTCAAATGGGACTACATGAATTGTTTGGATTATCGAGTGAGAAAATGAAGGCTGTGACCTTTGATGATTGGCTAATTTCAATCCCAATATAGTTGAGATGAATTAAATTTAGATGAATACCCATAAATCAACAAATTTTTGGTGTAAGGGGATTAATATGTAAGTTGGTGCATGAAAATGCGATAAATAATGCGGCAGAAAAATATACAGTTCAGCATTGTCGGAAGACATGATCTTCATTGTAAAATAATTATTTTGTTATCTAAAGTTTTTATATCAAAGAAGTCTAGAAAGTTTGAAGATAACATAAAATAATTAATAATACAAATAATAATAATCTTTTGAATCTTATATTATGATTGCAACCTCCGGTCGGTATAGTATATAATAAGTATAATAAGCAATAAAGCTTCCAATGTTTCGTATGCACAAATAAAACATTGCATGGCTTTAACACCATGTATAAAAAATAACAAAGAAACAAGATAACAACACCAATTACCTTCACGGTAACTGGCCTAATTACAAGTTTAACCACCACTTATGTTAATGATTTAGACAGTAATGCAGCTTCCATTTATCAGATTAATATTTACTCTTTATTTTTATATTGATAATTTCCCCCAATTATTATGAATTGAAAGATTTCTCAATTTTTAAAGTCATGGTGCAAATTGGATGTGAAATTATGACAGTTATTATCATCTTTTCACGAAAAAATAAATGCCATCTCATGGATATATAAATTAACCAAAGATCGTCGCTCCATTACGATTACCGAGGGTGTTTATGAGGAAAAATATAAATTTATACGAAATTAATTATGACACCTTGAGGAAACTGTGAGTGAACAAATGAGTGGTATTCTAAATTATACTGCAATATATTGATTGTATGCGATATTTTAGTGACAATTTTGAATACAAAAATACGTTTTATACAGTATGATGTACGAAAAGTTCTCCTCAAACTTCGAGCGCAGTTACACACGGTTGCCGTTATCACAACTTGCGGTTCGAGGTAACATATCATTTGTTTCTTTCATTAATGTTGTTTAATTAAAGTTCATTAATTAATGTTAACATTTAATAATGCTGTTTATTGTAATACCAGCTAATTAATTCGACTTGTACAATTTAGAGTAGTTAAGAAACATTTAAAAAATCGTTGATGACTACGACACGGAACGGCAAATTTAGTAATTTTTTATTTATGTGATTAAAGCTTTTCTTTAATTAATATAAATTAAGAAGCTATAAGCACGTTTTTACCCCATGATTCATCTTCTTTATTCAAGACTTAGCCTTACTAAGCATTATAAATTAACATAAAAACTTCCTTATATACATTATCGTATAAGGGGACATGACTATATTATAATGAACCTGATCCCTCCTGAACCGGGGAGAGAACTTCCCCTCCCTGACCCCCTTCAGGGTTATCAGGGGTGAAGGATGCGTAGAGAAGCGATGGCCCGCACTGGGTGGGGTGGAGGGATGAGGCTTGGGGATTTGGGGGAGCGAGGGACTGTGTAAGGGGAAGGAGGGTTAAAGAAGGGTCGTCTATGGAGGAGAACCCTTGGTAAGACAACCCCGGGCTCTGATGTTGGGGTTCTCTGGACATTGAAGGGTTCAGGGATGCCAGTAAGGAGTGTGGGGAAGAGGATGGGGATGCGGGGGCGTATCCCTATGCCATCGCCCCCACTACGTTATTCCCCCCATGTGACATCCCAAACGGTGCCGCCCCGGACGGAATCTGTAGCTGGGATGCTCCCCCAATTCCCCCAAACCCTGACATGCCGTGCATGGAGGAGTGCGGTTGTCCGCTATGATGCACCCCATGATGACCTCCGCCCATCAACCCTCCACCCATTGAAGAACTGCTCGCCGCCGCGGCTGCCGCGGCTGCTGCCGCCGCCATGTGGTTGCCATACATGCTGTACATGGCAGAGAACCCGCCGCCCCCTGGACCCCCAAACCCGGGGAAGCCTTGCCCGCCCTGACAGGACTTGTCGCGCAGCATGTCGGGGAAGCCGAGCAGTCCCTTCTTCTTCTTGGACTTGGCGCTGAGCTTGCGGTTGCGCGTCTGGATGCCGTCCTTCTTCATGGACATCGGCCGCGACACCTGCGGAGGAGGAGGCTGTTATCGAGGGGTGGTGGTAGGTGCCGAATGGTGATTCGACAATGTGGGTTAACATAGATTTAATGCTTTCATAGAGGTCATTTAGTGTTGATACTTCAATTGGTTTCATCGCAAAATGTTACGTTTAGGGTAGAAATTTAGCGTTGGTCTTCACTGATGATTACCGTCAATTGTGGCAGTATTTATCGTGGTCATTTAGAATTTGAAAAGGATTAGTACTTAATAACAAACCCTCTAATCGCCTTTATTTTGTATTTGTCATGATAACAAATTGTTATACTGATAATAATTTTGGAAATGTTATATGTTGAGAAAAGTTGTTATGAACCAAAGACGCATCATTTATAAAAAATTGTAATTCCAGTGTAGCAGATTTTAACACAGTTCAGGTGCAGTTTAGTCAAAACGAAAATGGCCAATCTCTGATAAAGTTCATCAGATTGATCTTTAAATTTCAATATTATGAAAATGAATCATCAATGCTTTTCAAAATACGATCATCGAATAACCTAAATTGATCAAAAAAGTAAAAATAACTAAAATTCACCGCAGAACGCGGAATTAACGATTATCGCAGAACGATAATCGGAGTAGTTAAACGCTCACTGCAGAATCTCAAGAGCCGTAAATCGATGATTAAAGGCATTAAGATGGTTTAAAATTAAAACATGGAATAAAGACGCTGAAATATTGGCTTAAAAACTCCATTATCGAGTGCAAAACGTGGCATGAAGAGACCAATAAACGAAGAAAATAATGCCGTGTATTAAAGAAGACAACGCTCGTGATACGGCAACTCTGATTGGCTCGAAGATAAGACAAGCAACGATAGCTGACTGGCCATAGATATGCTTCCCAGCGATGTGATTGGCCGAGATAAGGCCTGGCGTGTATTGATTGGCCGATAGGGGGAGCGGGAGAAGGGGAAGGAGGGGATGAAAACCCCAGATAATCTTGGCTAAAATTGCATCAGAAAAGAGCAGGAAACCGAGGCTTATCTCGGAGACTAGTTGAGAGGGGGGAGTGGGATGGGATAGGTGGATGGGGGCTGAAGGGAATGAGGCGAGAGGGAGGGGGGTTACACAGCACAGCCTGCATAGGGTTATAGCTACATACGTGACAGCAACACAACGAATAATAGTAATGCTGGTAACGCAACAGCGTGTCCTAGATATAAACTAGTTGAAGTAAAACTACGTAGTAGTTAATCTTGTTACAAAATCACGTTGCAGTTACACTAGTTACAACAACACCCCGCTATAGTTAGCAACAAATTACACATAGTTACAACAACACTCGTTACTCACGTTATGTAGTTTGTAGTAGAGGCCACACGCGTTACACACAGGCTCGCCGTTGTGGTTACGTCGCCATAACGTCGTTGTTGTCGTTTTACAGTTGGCGCACGACGTGCCGGCGCGGCGTTGCGCCGACTGCGGTGATACGATGTGTAATGTTATCATTGTTATGCAACAATAGCTTTTGATATATAAACAAATTTCTGTTATGTTTAACATAATATTTCTTTAAAATTTGTGTTTTCAAAGTAAAATTTAGTCAATTATACTCCTAGGATTAAATTTTTGAAGAAACTTTACATACATGTACGATCGCTGACTTTTATTGCAGTATACGTTCAAAAATTTTCTAAGGGATAAAATTCAAAGAAAACAAATAATCTATTTTTTTTTGCAACAACTACGTTATTTACTATGGATTCATTTGCACGGAATCGACCACCCTCAGTCCCTCATTCAGTCATTGCACAGTTTAAAAACATCAGGGGTCAGATAAGTATAAATAATTAATTAATATAGAAGAAAATTTCCGTTTGTTTACACTAGAGTGACAGTGACTAGAGCAACGTCCCGCGAGCCTGCGACAGCACGTCAACCTCGTGGCTTTTCGCTGCCTACTGACAACCCGTCAGCCATCCTGCTTTTACGATTTTTTTTATGATCAAAGAGGGCTTCTACTATATATCTTGAGTGCTTTAGAATGAAGAAACTTTTATGTGTGTTGAATAAAACAATAAATATCTTGTTTTCTAATAGTGTCTAATATCAATTAGAAACTTTTCTCAATTCATTTAGGGCAAATTTATATGTTCGCTTTCCGATTGCCTCATGGAGCCCATACAAATAATTTAGTGATAGGAAATCCCACGAAAAATTTTCATTCTCAATTAAATTCCTTATAATGCCGCCTTTGACTATCGTGCAATGCCGTGAGAGTCGTAATTTCCAAAATAGGTACTACTTTTACCTCTCCCGGCTCCCATGGTCAGGAAGATGTGCCAGGTGCGCGGGAATTTATTTTGTCATTTTAACAACCTGCGCGGTGTGCCGTAATATGCTGGTAAAAAAATGCGCCATGCGCCGTACTTTAGAAAGCTAAAATAGTTCTACTATTTTAGTCGACAATATACGCGAGTATATTGACTACGCGAGTCGAACTGACAATAATAAAATGTAAGACATGTCCGGGTTACTTCTGACTCTTCCGCTTGTCCGCCTTGTCAGATACGGAACGTACGGTAATCGTAAACTGCGGCTATTATACATACGAAATGTGAACAGACGATGTTCAGTGTTGCCATATGACTTTGGAGAAAATTTCTTCTAAAATAAAGTTCTAGATTTCTCATTCACCAAATTTCTGGGATTGCGCGAACACGTGCGCAAAGAGAATCAATTTTCATTACATTGCGCCAACTGAGCACAGCAATAGCTTAAAAAAGTGAAAATGCGCGGGAAAATTCACCGAAAACATACATCATCCTGAGTGTGGCCCGGCTCTGATGTGTCAGATGGAGCTATGTAAATTTTACCAGGTACAAAAACTATTTTCCTAACATAAATCTGTTCTAATAAGGGCAGCGAATTACTTTTTGATGGTAACTTATAGGCCGTGAACGATGATACTATAAACTAGACCTACCATGTGCTGTTTGGGCTTGATGAGAGGTCTGTTCTGGCCGTTCATTTTGTAGTAAACAGTCACCCTGCGCTCTGTTGCTAACTAAGGCAGTAAACTAGACCTACCATGCGCTGTTTGGGCTTGATGAGAGGTCTGTTCTGGCCGTTCATTTTGTAGTAAACAGTCACCCTGCGCTCTGTTGCTAACTAAGGCAGTAAACTAGACCTACCATGCGCTGTTTGGGCTTGATGAGAGGTCTGTTCTGGCCGTTCATTTTGTAGTAAAGGCCACACGCGTTACACAAATAGTGGCCGTTGCCATCGCGTCGCCACAGCGGCGTCGACGTCGCGCCACAGTTCACGCACTCGCGCCCTTCTGTGGCAAAATGTGATATTTTCGGTGTCATTAACGTCAGTATTCATGAATGGTAGCACGTCAGAGATGATGAAATTTGGCTTTTATCATTATAATAATGCTTACAACATTTCTTGTTTGACTTAATTAAATAGCTTATAGACTGAAACTTGCAAATTGAACCTTAAACTTTAAAGAAAAATGCGAAATTTATGATGGAAGTTAATGTAATACGACGAAAAAAATAGTTGAATCAGTTGAAATTATTCACTTTTTAGATTCATATGAGAATTTTTCTTTTATATGCTTGCTTGAATTCAATAATTTTAAGACAGGTGTTTACCGATCTTATAATTATTGCTAAAAATGGAAAAAAACGTCATATTATTTTGAAAGTAATAATGCTTACAACAAAAAATGATTTGCACCGAGGTTGAAATGAAGCCTGTTAGCAAAAAGTGATTTTAGTGCAAGAAAGCGTCAGTGAAAATAGTACAAGAAAGCATGAGTAACATAACAACAATAAATGTAAGAAAGATTAGCACCAAAGGAGTTCAAGGCGAGTGGAAGCATCAAATGTATAAGTTTTATTATATGTTCTGTTAATGGCGGGTCTGTAGGCATGAAAATCATCGGAATGAATATATTGTTGAATGAAGCAAATGTTAGAGGAAGCTGAGCACAAGCGTTTACTCATGGACATACACGATTGCCTTGTAGTGATGTAACATGCATGTGGTGATGTCATATTATACTCTACCATCCACCCTCGTTATATAAACCCTTACCCTTTCTCACATCTTAATTGCTATTCCTCTATGTTAATTTCATTTTCCCCATACTTTCCTTGTTGAATTCTTCCTTTCTCTTTCCTCTCTTTTCTCTACCCTCTTTTATCTCTCTTGTGATCGCGTAGATCATTTACGATAAATTCAGCGATGACGAGATACGAGATCTCATCTCGCTATCTTAAGCTAAACCGCTGCTTTGATAAACGCACATGCACAAAAAACACTGCAAGTGCCTGTGCGTTGTGCTCGTTCGTGTACGCATATATCGATCGACGCATGCTTCCACCCTGCATGATGGCAATGCGTGTTGTGTGTGTGAAATTGTGGGCGGTTGCTTTCTCCGAAAATGGGGACTAGAAGATCAAGTGCGAGCTGAATTGATGAAAATAAATGAATATATCATTACTTTAATAATAAAAAAATTATTAAATAACAATTATGTTATTAAATAAGAAGCTCAAATGAATTGATGAGACGAGAAAGAAGCCATAAAATATTCGAGGTTCCAATGTGACGAATGAAAAATACATACGGTGGGAATTAATATTGATTATAATTGAAGTTTCACATAATGGAGAAAAAAATGTTAGGTGTTCAAAAGAACGAAACTCAAACCTTATTTTCAGGCACACAAAAACCAGTTACCTCGGCTTAATTTTAATAAAAAAGTATAGAACCGAAACCCGAAAAAGATCACATTAGGAATTAATAGAAAACGTTTTTTTTAATAAAAACCATATTTCGAAACATAATCAAGAAACCTTCTTGAACTTTTTAGACGCAACCCAAACTACTTCAGGGGAAGAAGAAACCACATTCGTATAGAAACCAACGACCGGAGCCCATTTTCTTTCGTGCCATTAGTGCAGGTCCGTGATTAGTGTGTGAAGCATTCGTGTTAGTGCACGCCACGCATTTCGTGATGTCACGCACACGCACTATTCTGTTACTCGGTTACGACCAATTTATTTCTTCGTCGGACACTCAGAATTTTTTTTTTCAACTGCATATAAACTTAACATGAAATTATTCATTAAAAATATGAAATTATTAAAAAAAACATGAAATTATTCAAATAGAAATAAAATTATTACTTTTTTCGTCATTCTAATCAATAGAACAAATCGAGTGGCGGTATGAACTTGAGAAGAGTTAAAAAATAACGCGTTCTCGTATTTAATTGCCCATGATCTAATGTAAAAAAAATTAGAGTAAAAGCGAGCAGACGCGAATGTTCAAAAGTTCCAAAAAGACATAAGTTTCATGATTTGGTGACCGTCGCTATATTCCCGTCTGTGAATGACTGAATTAGTTTTTTTTAACAACTGACTGTTATTAACGATTAAATTTTTTCATTTTTTTCTTTAAGGAAAGACTCCATGACCTCGTAACTCAGAAGGTCGTAAATCAATTGCACTTATTGATGTCGTTGGTCAAAATATTTCTATAATCATCATGAATGTCGTACGCTTATCGTAATTTTACGACATGGGAGAGGAAAAGTAACAGAAGTAACGGAGTAACAGAATTGCGCTGTATGGTGACCTCCGACGGTTGATTTTGCTGTTATACTCAACCGCATCACGGTATTCTGTGCGATGAACCTTCAGAAAATGCATAATCACTCATATTTTATTTCATCATTGTCTTTGGATCATAGTTTAGCATTAATTGCATTAGGATAATTTATTGTAATTATGATAATTATTTAATCATTATATTTAATGGATATGTAGGTTGCATCCTTGAAAACGATAATTATGTAATCGTTATATTAATTAAATAGATTATAATATGTAGGTTGCATCCTTGAAATAACTTTCACTATACATCAATGAATTTTTTTAAAATTAGCATTTCAGTCCAGCATTTGATTTAAAATTCAACTCAAGTATTTTGCACAGAACTGCTTGAGTCATTACAGCAAAATCAACCCACGGTTTTTTATGCATGGTTTTGAACATTTAATGCTGTGGTCTTACCAGCGGAAGACCTGGTTTTGCTTTTGTGTTTTTCCCCCCTAGAGGCAAACCCTCCCCCTGAGGAGGCGTAGTACCCGAAGTCTGGGGAACTGTGGGGGTAATGAGGGTATGTGGATGAGGGCAAGAGGGGCATGGAACAGTCCATGTGGTTGTGATGGTGGTGATGGTAGCCTGATGACGTCATCATGTCGTGGTGATGTTGTTGTTGGTGTTGTAGGTGGTGGGTGTTGGTGGGGAATATTGGCGCACCTTCCCTGCCACTCTTCCCACACACTGAGAGTGGGGAAAGCATGGCTGAGTGTTTCAAGTCCAGCGCTGAGGATGTGTCCATAGCCCCAATGCTTCCCGCCATGTTGTAGCCTTCCCCTCCTCCCCCAATACTCCCCCCTCCCCCAGAGTGAAGGCCCCCCATGGGATCGTCCTTCGTGGGGAAGTTGGGGAAAAGGTTTGTGGAGGACGGGTACTGGGGGTAGCTTGATGGGTGGGAGCTGGGGGAGGAGGAGTGGGGATATGAAGAGCCGTTGTTGCTTTTCCCCGAAAATGGGGAATGCCAGGGAGATGGCGGGCTGCTCCCCACTTTAGTATCTCCCCCAGCTGGACTCCCCAACCACGGGTGAAGTGGGGAGGCGAATGACGGACGGAACACCTGGCTGCTCCCCATGCGAGCTGGGGAAGATAATTTTTGCCATTAATACAAATCAAGACAAAATTTTATGGAATCTTTAGGATAAATTTAAAGTATTTTGCATTTGAGAGCCAATTTAAAAAAAATTTACATAATACACTTCAGTTCAATGAATATTTAGAGTGCGAGAGCGAATTATTTGAGATATTATTCAATACGGATATAATCATGTCTAAAACATCATAAGTTCCAGCAAACTCATGTGAATAAAGGAAAAAATATTAGAATGATATAATATTCGTTACTTTACCAAAATGAAATACATCTTTAAAATTTTTAGTGCGTCATTACATACAAAGAAATAAATTTAAATGAAGGAAGGAATTATATGCATTGATTGTAACTTCTAAATATTTAATCGTACAAAAATATTTGCAAATCATGTAAGTATGTTGTTATAATATATCCATGCCAGGGAACCTGACTTGTATGTATGAAATTAATTCAGATAAACTGAATTGTCTCTGATGAATACCATACATGAGCTGAATTCAAAGCCATAGGGTACATTCAGAGATTGCAGAATAGATATGAATTAACTTAATTCTTTTATAATCTTTCCTATCAGATGCAGTGCGGAGGCTTAAATGTGATATTCTACGTTTTATGGATGACAAAAGCTTGATCAACGCTTAATGTTAAATTGAATTACAATGAAGGCCTGGGAGTAATGTCGGGATTGTAACGCAATCATTATATTATATGCATTATTATATAATGTATATATTATAATGTGAATTACATCAGCGTTTGATTGTTCGTTAATCTTTTGGTTAGACACATATGAAGCGCTGCCGTCCACTGCAGGCATATAAATAATTCAGACCCTTCAAAATCATTCATACTCTTGAAATAATTCAAACCCTTCAAATCATTCAGACTCTTCAAAACATTCATATTCTTCAAATCATTCAGATCATTCAAATCATTCATATTCTTCACATCATTCAAATCATTCATATCCTTCACATCATTCAAATCATTCAGACCTTTTAATCATTCAGACCCTTCAAATGATTCACACCATTCAAATCATTCACACAATTCAAACATGTTAGGTCATGTCACTCATCAATCACAGTTAGCAGCAGAAGCCGCTGCTTGTCACAGCAGCGCAGCAGGCATCCAATTGTCTGCTTGTAGGCTGCAATTGTTGTAGGAGGATACAGAAAATGGCTCTAAGTAAAATATAACAAGTAGATAATTATAATATGAAATAATTGTCGCACATGTCGCTGTCATGCATCAGCCACTGCTATATCGGCATCTGCCATCAGCCACTGCCATCGGTATCTGGCATCAGCATCTGCCATCAGCCATTGACATCAGACACTGCCATAAGCCACTGCCATCAGCCACTGTCATCAGCCACTGCCATCAGCCACTGCCATCGACATATGCCATAAGCCACTGCCATAAGCCACTGTCATCGACATTTGTCATCAGACACTGCCATAAGCCACTAACATCAGCATCTGCCATCAGCCACTGCCATCAGCCACTGCCATCAACATATGTCATCAGACACTGCCATAAGCCACTGCCATAAGCCACTGCCATCAACATCTGCAATCAGCCACTGCCATCGACATTTGTCACCAGACACTGCCATAAGCCACTGCCATCAACATCTGCCATCAGCCACTGCCATCAACATCTGCCATCAGCCACTGCCATCGACATTTGTCACCAGGCACTGCCATAAGCCACTGCCATCAACATCTACCATTAGCCACTGCCATAAGCCACTGCCATAAGCCACTGCCATAAGCCACTGCCATCAACATCTACCATAAGTCACTGCCATAAGCCACTGCCATAAGCCACTGCCATAAGCCACTTTGAGGGGAGGTGAGGGGAGGTGAGGGGAGTTGAGGGGAGGTGAGGGAAGGTGAAAGTAGGTATTTAAATGTATGGAGGGAAGTCGGAGGGGAACAATCCTTATTGATTAGGGAAAGCAACAGGAAACAAGTGTGTGTGTTCAAGTAAGCTTGTAATGAACTATAATATACTTTAATAATATTATTACAAATCCATACTCTGGAAGTCCTTACCCATAAAGAGGAAAAAATTCATTGTTCATTAAGTTCACAATAATAAAGTTCATCTCTTTTTTTCCAATTAGTATCAATCGGTCTGGATTCAATTCGTACTAATTCATTTTAGTCAATTATTCTAATATAATATCATCAAACTAGACATAGAGAGTGACGGCCGGCCAGCTGACCAATAAGAAGAATTATTGAAACTTTATACATACGGTATTGTTCTGATATTGTACAATATTATTTCCAGCAGAAAAAACGGTGAAAAAACGGTCCCACTGGCGTTCTAGTGGCCGGTCGCCCCGTGAAAATAAACAGTTTCGCCGTTTTTATCAGATGTTCTACAGATTTCTGGTGTTAAATTAGAATAAAAACGGCGACACGGTGTTTCTTTTCACGTGCCGACCGGCCACTGAAACGCCGGTAATACCGTTAATGAAAATTTTCTAACTGTGCATTTTATCAATTATTCTTTGTATTGGAGATGAATAATTCACGAGAGTAGAGTAACATGTTACAGGTATCAGAATATCCGCTTATTTTATTTCCTTGATTGTTCTAATTATTGCTTTTGATGTTTAATTTTGCACTATTTATGCATGATAATAAATTAATCTTGCCCTTTCCCGGAGAAAGTCTTTACAAGTGAGAGGTGAAGGGTGAGGGGAAAATGAAAGGAGGGGAAAGTTATGCGGTGCTAGGAACTTACATGTGGAAAAATGTATGAATAGTGAAAGGCTGAAAGGCTAAAGTTTAAAATAGTTTAAAGTTTAAGGCTAAATAGAAGGAAAAGAGGGAAGAGAAGAGGGAAAGGAAGGGGGAACGGATACGAAACGAAGGAAAGAAAGAGGGGAGGGAAAGCGGGAAAGAAAGGAGTTAAACGAAGAGGGAAAGAGTAGAGGGAAATTGAAGATGGAAAGGGAAGACGGGAAGGAAAGAGAGATGGGGTGGGGGTTCTAGCGAGGGATCGAGGGGAGCCGTGTGCGGAAATGAAACGCTCGAAAAATGGCCGATTTGTTAGGCAAGCATCGAGGGGAGAGGCTGGGCGATGGGGACTGAGGGGATTGTGGGGACACAAGATAACGAGTTAGAGGGAAGGATGGAGAAAGGCAGCAAAGATGTTGAGTATATCAAGCAGCTGTAGAATAACGCGCAGTTGATAAGTAAATCAAATGAAGATGCCACAACGAAACAATGTTTCAATGCCCGAAGAAGTCGTTGAATTTTGTGCCCACTTGCTTACATGGACGAGTAATATCTTTAAAGATCCTCTAGTTTCTCCATGTAGGAAACTAACAACAAGATGGTAAAAAGATCCTTCGCTTTGGGATTCACAGAGAAAAATAGAAATAATATTATACAGATAAGATTTAAGATGCAGACTGGAAAAAACAATGAATACTGTTGATATAATTTCAAAGTGAACTGACACACTAGATCATGACAGTTGAATATTGAAGCAACCATCAAAATAAGAGTAAAATGAACGGGTGAAAATCTTTCAAAAAAAGTTGATTTTCGGCCGATTTGATAATAAACTTAAAAATGAAGAACGTCGCTGGTTTAAAATTGATCATTGTTCAATTTATGTTTTAGTTTTGTCTTGAGAAGCGCAATATTTCCGGACCATATGCTACGTGTACAAAAAGCATATGCAAACCAAAGATATATATTTCTAGTTTCGTTTTTTAAATACGCTAAATTTGCATCGTGATTAGATTAAAAAGAGCTCCACTTTCAAATAGCTATTGGTGAATTGCAATACCTATAATAGTAAGTACAGTATACCTATATAGGTTATAAATTTCATGAACATCATCGTTCATACTAATAGCTTAGTGACGATGTATTGCAGTACCTATAGTAGTAAGTACAGTATACCTATATATAGGTAAATTTCACGAACATCATCGTTCATACTAATAGCTTAGCGACGATGTATTATAGTACCTATAGTAGTAAGTACAGTATACCTATATATAGGTAAATTTCACGAACATCATCGTTCATACTACAATAGCTTAGCGACGATGTATTTAATTGTAGTACCTATAGTAGTAAGTACAGTAACTATAGGTTGTAAATTTCACGAACATCATCGTTCATATATACTAATAGCTTAGCGACGATGTATTAATTGTAGTAACTATAGTAGTAAGTACAGTACCTATATAGGTTATAAATTTCACGAACATCATCGTTCATATATACTAATAGCTTATATAGCGACGATGTATTTAATATCCTAATGAAGAACTTGTTTGATAATTGGAGTGCTGCTTCCGCTGCAGCAGAGCAGCGTTGACTGAAAGACCGTCATATTTCAGCAGCGATATGACACTTGATGGTCGTTAGCTCTGATAACATATCAGTTACCGCTGCTGCGCACCTATAATGACCACACTACCCTCTTCTTGTCCTTACTTCTGATTTGGGTTCGTGTTTCTATTCTGCAGTAAGTTGTTATTTCGCTTTTGTTGATGTACATACTAATATTCTACCTTTAATACTTCCTTTTTGCTTTAACTCCTTTCTCTAATTTTAGTCTTCCTCTAATTCTAGTATAGGTATCTAGATTTTTTCCTTTAATACTTCCCTTTTCCTTTAACTCCTTCCTCTAATTTTAGTCTTCCTCTAATTCTAGTCTAGGTATCTGGATTTTTTTCAGGTAAATATCGCCGGTTGTATCATGCATGTATCATCGCGAATGCGTACATCATTGATCCAGTAGATGTTATATGTTGCGTGCAATATTGTTTATAGAAGAAATGATGCTTGTTTTCTCTGATATAGTTGCTTGCTGAATGCAGTATTGTGTGATGTTGTATATGATTCAAGCATCATCAACGATACATGCATCATTGGTGCAACTGTTCGACAAATAAATATTTGTTTTAAGCAAGAATCATCAAATATATACATTCATGATACAAACAGGGATTAAATATATGTTTTTATTCTATTAAAGTTTCATCGAAGATTTCTGCATTGGAAATAAATCCGCTCGTGTAAAAATTACTTCATAAAACTTATAACAGTGGACAGCGATACATCAATGATACAGACTAGCTAACGTCTGATATATATGAGCTATCATCTGATATATATGAGATATCATCAAAAATATATGTATATGATATATAATGGTCTAAGTTAGTGTTTTTGTTTCCTTGTTTGAACCCTGACACATTAAATATTTAAGGGCAGTTCTAGCGAATACTTACGATAATTGTTACAAAATATTAAATACAGTTAATTAGATTAAAAATGATTAAATTATTATTAAATTTAAATCTGACCCTGATGCATGTTAGTGCTGGTTTAGGGCCGGCAGGGCCGGGAAAACTGCCCAGTTCTATATTAAGTGCATCATGGATGCGGATGTGTATATAAAAAAATCTACATGAATAGTCTTTAGGAATATACTAATAATGATCAGTGCTCTATATATAATAAAACTCATCTCAGCACAGCTGATTAGATAACTATCTTGTTAAATACGTATAGCATATAATCTTGAATTTTATTTTTACATGATTGATGATCATTTATGGGACATTCATGATTTCGATCTTGATTAATGATGCATAGCTTCCTCGGTGAGTTCAATTATACATATATGGAATTATATGGAATATTACGCATATATTCATGCGATGAAAGAGGTATGGGAACGAACATAAATTGTACAAATTTACAAATTTTAACACTCACCCTCTCACTCACTCACTCACTCACTCACTCACTCACTCACTCACTCACTCACTCTCTCACTTTCTCACTCACTCTCTCACTCTCTCACTCACTCACTCACTCCCTCACTCACTCACTCTCTCACTCACTCACTCACTCACTCACTCCCTCACTCACTCACTCACTCACTCTCTCACTCTCTCACTCACTCACTCACTCACTCACTCACTCACTCACTCACTCTCTCACTCACTCACTCACTCTCTCACTCACTCACTCTCTTGCTCACTCACTCTCTTGCTCACTCACCTCCATTATTTTCATTAGTTATACTGCATGGTTCTCGTAAAATCTAATTTCTTTCTTTTATATTTTCCTACGTCTTTGTCATATGTAATTTTTTCTGCACTGTTTTTTCAAAATAAAATGATATTATTTACCGTATTTTCAGCATTTAAAAATAGTTTCAGGTTTTTTGACTCGGTTTCGGGTATCCCAGACGCCGCCATCATCGCGGATGGCGGCCGAGTTTTTGCGTGCGTATATCGACCGTACGCGTCACAGGTGCGACGCGCGCGGACCGGCCTCGTTAGGGACACGCACGGACTTCAAGCAAATAGATTTTGAAAAGCTCTGATAAATTATTTGGAAATTATTGAAGAAAAATGTATATGCGATTAAATGTCTCAATTAACACTTGAAATGCAAATAAAATTCGAACAAATCAATTATCATTAGGTTAAAAATCATGTGAAAATTATCTTATTGGAAGTAATGACCGTACATAATAATTTCACTAATTCTAAAATAACTAAATATCAAACTCTGTTTCCGGAAACACATGCAAATTAAAATTATTAGGAACACATGAGCTTTTTATCTCATTAAACCGTCATCCTGTCGTACGCAAAAATATAGTCACATTATCGTAAAATCAGAGGCGGCTTAACGCGGCCATCAGAGGCGGTTTATAGGCGGCCGCCAGTTGGCCGAAGCTGATCCTGGACTAGCTTGTAATGCACATGTGAAGTGCGTGATCTATCAGCACTAACGAACAGCACGATTAATTAAAGGAACTATATGAGAACTCAAAATTTATTAACGATTTTAACAAATTTCGCGGAAATTTCGAATGTTATTCGCATTTATTTTCCTTGAATAAGCACAACAAACATAAATTTGAATTTAATTTCCTACGCATCCAATTACTTAAAAAGAACATCAGTCAATTCTTATAAATAAGATTGAAATAAGTGATAACCTAAATTAAATTCGAAATTAAGGATGGCCAAAATGTTAAGTAGAATATCAAAGTTCGCTAATTAGATAAAGTCATCATTATCGGTGTTATCAGAGCCACAGCTGCCGACGTTAGATCAATACATCGCTTGTTAACAGACGTACGTTCTTTTACTGCTTTCTAATGAACACCCAAACACTGCAAATGAATGATTCACGTTATTCCAGATAACAGTCAATTAAAAATTAGTTTTTGCGTGCTGTATATCGTGTAAATATTTAAAGACGTTGTCGTATATTGATTTTTGCGAAAGCATTGTGAATGACTTCATTCTTTTGTGTATGACCCTTAATTCTAATTTTAATACACGCCTGTGTATCTGTGTTGATCTCGCAGTTATTGCGTGTTAAAATGTGTCAAACATACAGTGTAACACAAATAACGTTAGTATAAAATTTCTAAAAAATAGCCATAATTACGAAGCACGTTAAAAATTTCAATCGTTTTTCGTCAAAATTTATCATTTGCTTGATTAACATAAAATAAATAATTGCACAAAGGCTACATATTATACCAAAAAAATAAATTAAAAACCGACGTGAAGCTCAGCGAGCATCACGTATACGCTCATGCGGAAATAAATTGATTAAAAAATTGGAACTCGAAAAATAAATTACTAGTATAGTTAATGCTATGTAGAATTTTTATGTATACGCTTTTAATGCTAAAAGTTATCCGTTGTGATTACTGCCACTTTGACTTGCAGATGTCTTAGATTCATTGTACGTATTTCGGTACTTATGCCAGCCAACGTTTGTAAATTTTGTCTGTACGCCTGCAGGCGTCATATACTTTGTCTGTACGCCTGCAGGCGTCATATACTTTGTCTGTACGCCTGCAGGTATCATATACTTTGTCTGTACGCCTGCAGGTATCATACACTTTGTCTGTACGCCTGCAGGCATCATATACTTTGTCTGTACGCCTGCAGGTATCATACACTTTGTCTGAACGCATGCAGTTGTCAGTAACTCCTATATTATTCTGCGTGAATAATTATTTGTTGTATATAGGAACGATTTTAACTTTAGTGCTTGCGCTTTACATTGATTTTGGAACTTTTACGTTACTGCGTAACCATCGCAATATTTTCAGGACTTTTACTTCACTGCGTACGTATTCCAACGTACTCATAATTTTGACTTTACTGCGTTCTCATATCGATTTTTATTTCGCATGAATCGCATTAAAAGAATTAAAATTTTCAAAAGTTGAACCAAAATTAGAGGAAGTGTGCTGAATTAAGATGCTAAAGCAACCGTGCATAATGTTCATTAATTTTTCGGTATCATTAATTAAACGCTTGCCTGCTTATCAGTCTCTCATTTGTTAAGAATTTCCTCCACACTTGCGGCATTTGAAGCATATTGATTAAAACCTTCATTACAATTCAATTAATAGGAGAATTTTCAGCGGCCAACCTCTGGTCTCTCATTACATAATCAAACTGATAGAAAAATCGATAAAGCTTTCAATTCAAGGAAATTATAGAAACTGCAGACGTGTTCCTGGTCGTTATGACGATAATGATGCGAATTACGGCCATTTGTGGAGAAATGAAATGCTAAAAGAAGAATAAAAGTGTTAGATAGAAAAAAGATTTTGATACTTTTTTATTTTGAAAAAAAAATGAATTATACCAGGCTTTGGGGGGAGAGGGTTTTCTCTGAATGTTAAGGAGGCGATGTGTGATTCAGCCCGTGGTGGGTAAAAATTCAGAGACAACATAATTTTTAAGCTGAAAAAAGAATGTTGACCCTGAATTTTCACCCACAGTATTTTTTGACAAAACATATGAGGTGTGCGCATAACTGCAGAGCAGACGATAGATTAGTATACTTTTAGCGAAAACACAACTACTGTGTAAGAAATTTCCGAGTGATTGCTATAGGGGAGAAAAGTATTTGTGAATGAATAATGTGTGACTGAACGGTCGGTGAGTACCTAATTCATGAGTGAATTTTTGGTGGAAAATCAGATGTGGGTTGATGAATGTTGGCAAGTGAACACTGGCACCACACCACCACACCACCACACCACCGCCACACCACCCCACCACACCACCAAGCCACCACACCACCTGCACACCACACCACCACCACACCACCACACCTGTCTCTTATACACATCTAGATGTGTATAAGAGACAGCGAGTAGGCTGCAATTGTTGTAGGAGGATACAGAAAATGGCTCTAAGTAAAATATAACAAGTAGATAATTATAATATGAAATAATTGTCGCACATGTCGCTGTCATGCATCAGCCACTGCTATATCGGCATCNCTGTCTCTTATACACATCTAGATGTGTATAAGAGACAGCCACCACACCACCACCCCACCACACCACCACACCACCACACCACCACACCACCACACCACCACACCACCACACCACCACACCCCTCCCTCTACTGTGTATACTGTTTATTATGTTAGTATATGTTGGCAAAATTTGTTCCTTTAAGCAGGTTTCATTTAAGACCAGAGAATTAGTTTTATTGATAATTTTCTTATTATTTTTTTCAATAGATCGAACAAGATTTTGAAAACTTTGAAAAAAACTAATAACAAAATTTTCAATAAAACGAATTCTCTGGTCTTCAATGAAGCCTGTTTATTATGCGTATACTGTATATTATGTGTATACTGTGTGTGCTGCGTCTACTGGCATGCACAACGTTTTACGTGTGTTCTGTTCACGCTTTCACATTCACATTTTACCTGCATTTATATTACTTGCACTCAAACGCACATCTACCAGCAAATTACATCAACGTAGTAGGTATAAATGTACTCACGTAGGAATGTACTCACCCATGTTATTGCCGTAGGCACAATGTACCATGCTGTAGTAGTCCTGATGTAGACCAGTACCAGCAGTGCCAGCTGTACCAAGCGTGCCATCTGCCCCAGCTGTACCACAGGAGTCGTACCACCTGTTCATGTACCCACCGGCACCAGCCTGCTCCATCGTGGTACCACTCATGTCCATTGTCCTTGATAATTATGGTTGTACTGATGGATCGATGTTACTTGCAGGGTACTAGAGTGATACTTGAAGTACTCTAGTACTTAGAGTGGTAACTTGATGTACTCTAGTACATGCAGTGCATTTCAAGTGTACTTGAAGTGATGTGATGAGTAGTTGTACATATGTGATCCAGTGTTACGATGTACTCAATATTGCACAGCTTGAATTATTTCGATTCGTATATCGTACTCCCAAGAGCACACTGTTCATTCGTCTAAAAACATGACAGCTACATACACCGACAAAAATTATATTCTGAAATTTGGTTTGTTATCCTATAATTGTATAGTAACATCTATTGTGTCATGTCCTAATTAAATAATACTGTTCTTCATGACCTGACTCATTATCTTTCATTATCAACTCAGAACGTGAGTTTGAAGTTCGGTCACTATATTTTTCGATTTATTTTTCACAATAAGTTAGTCATAACACCATTTTTGATCATATATCAAAATTATAAATTAGATTCTAAGCTTATAACTTCAAACAAAAATTCAATATTTTATCGGTGACTAAAATTCGTGATTATTTCTGAATTTTCTGTAATGAAGTAACGTTAATAACAGGGTAAGTTCCTTAACTATATCAGGTTAGGTTTGTTAACAGGGTAAGTTTTTGATATCAGGTTAAGGTTTGTTTACAGGGTAAGTTTTTGATATCAGGTTAGGGTTTGTTTACAGGGTAAGTTTTTGATATCAGGTTAGGTTTGTTAACAGGGTAAGTTTTTGATATCAGGTTAGGGTTTGTTTACAGGGTAAGTTTTTGATATCAGGTTAGGTTTTGTTAACAGGGTAAGTTTTTTATATCAGGTAAGGTTTTGTTAACAGGGTAAGTTTTCGATATCAGGATAGGGTTTGTTAACAGGATAAGTTTTCGATATCAGGTTAGGTTTGTTAACAGGATAAGTTTTCGATATCAGGTTAGGGTTTGTTAACAGGGTAAGTTTTTGATATCAGGTTAGGGTTTGTTAACAGGGTAAGTTTTGTGATATCAGGTTAGGTTTTGTTAACAGGGTAAGTTTTTGATATGAGGTTAGATTTTGTTAACAGGATAAGTTTTCGATATCAGGTTAGGGTTTGTTAACAGGGTAAGTTTTCGATATCAGGTTAGGGTTTGTTAACAGAGTAATTAAGTTTTGTTAACTGGGCAACTTTTTTATTTTGCGGAATTACGTGTTGCACGAACATTACATATGTTCATGCGGAACACGCCAGCCTAATTTCTACGGAACATGTCATCTTTCGGCGGAACAAATTTCCAAATTTAAACAAATGTTCTAAAATCATTTAAATTTTCTAAATATCTTTATAATTGATTTTACACTCCCACGGCCCTCAGGTGGCCCTTATCAATTTGCCATTGGTCGGCAGATATCATACGGATCTTTTCTAATTTTCGGCACAAGGAAAAACCCATTATATGCACGTATAACCTAAACCCGCAGGAAAATGTATAATTTAGAAATAAATGTTTCTATCGACCAGGATAACAATTGACTGATGCACACCGACATCGCACGTGCTTGTGTTTATCTGTTTGCTTTGTGTTCCAATGTGTTCTGTGTAGACATACTTCATTAAAAGGCAGGGTCGTATTATAGGCGGTCATCGCTCCACTAAACATAGCCAGGATATTTCTTTTGAATATTCAACGATTTAGTTACTCCTTGAAGCAGTATTTGGACAGAAAAGTTTTGGACGAAAATATAATTTCGGTTAATTCGATTTGTATTTAAGAATTCAACAATAGACTAATTAAGCTTCAAGAATTTGGAATATGCAAAAATACTAGTATTTTAGATAAATAATTGCTATTTGGCTTCCATCTTTGTTACTCTTCACGTCCTCTTCTCCCACAGTTATAAAGTAATATATATAAAATATATCAGACTTCGCCATCTAGTTCATTCTTTTGCTCAACACAAACTTTATCGTCTGTGGAAATTTGACATTTCAATTTTACATTTTCCTGTGATTTAGGTAATTCGTGCATGTAATGATTTATCGACATCTGTGGCATTCTGGAAAAGATTTATGGGATTTCTGCAATGGCAGGCTGGGGCGAGATAAGCTTTGATAGTGATTGATAAGGTCCACCTATAGAGTTAAAAGTCAAAATTACCGCAATTATTTAATTTAATTATCGAGTGGAATTTTACATTTAATCCAATAATGTTTTTATTTAATTATCGAGTAGATAAGTTTAAATCTACGTTCCAAATAACCTAGCTCCGGGTAATATGTGTCAATTATTAATAGAGCAGAAACTTAATTATTAGGAGCCCACTGACTGCGATTCATGATAATTCTGATAGGAGTTCGCGTTCTGTATGAATTAGTTGATTATTATGTTTGAGTTCACATTAACACAATTAGTGTGTTAGTAAGAGCAGTGACAACTCTTGTCAGTAGTACAGTAGTACAGTTATTGCGATAAATACAGAAAATGTACTGAATTAATTACAGAACGGGTGCTGTATTAATTAGAGAACAGGTAATGAATTATTTAGATAACAGGTACTGCGTTAATTAGAGAACAGGTACTGCGCTAATTAGATAACAAGTACTGAGTTAATTAGAGAACACGTACAGCGTTAATTAGAAAACAGGTACTGAGTTAATGAGAGAATAGGTACAGAATCAAGTAGAAAAGCGGTACTACGTTAATTAGAGAACAGGTACTGCGCTAATTAGATAACAGGTACTGCGTTAATTAGAGAACAGGTACTGAATTAATTAGAGAACGGGTACTGCGCTAATTCGATAACAGGTACTGAATTAATTAGAGAACAGGTACTGCGTTATTTAGAGAACAGGTACAGAATTAATTAGAGAACAGGTACCGAATTAATTAGATAACAAGTCTTGCGTTAATTAGAAAACAAGTTTTGCATGAATTAGAGAAAATGTACTGCGTTAATTAGAGAATAGGTACTGAGTTAATTAGAGAATAGGCACTGAATTAATTAGAGAACAGGTACTTCGTTAATTAGAAAACAACTACTGCGTTAATTAGAGAACTGGTACGAAATTAATTAGAGAACAGGCACTGCGTTAGTTAGAGAACAGGTACTGCGCTAATTAGATAACAGATACTGAGTAAATTAGAGAAGCGGTACTGAATTATTTAGAGAACAGGTACTGAGTTAATTAGAGAAGCGGTACTGCGTTAATTAGAGAACAGGTACTGAGTTAATTGGAGAAGCGGTACTGCGTTAATTAGAGAACAGGTACTGAGTTAATTAGAGAAGCGGTACTGCNGTGTGTTGCATCACAGTGTGTGGTGTGTTGCATCACAGTGTGTGGTGTGTTGCATCACAGTGTGTGGTGTGTTGCATCACAGTGTGTGGTGTGTTGCATCACAGTGTGTGGTGTGTTGCATCACAGTGTGTGGTGTGTTGCATCACAGTGTGTGGTGTGTTGCATCACAGTGTGTGGTGTGTTGCATCACAGTGTGTGGTGTGTTGCATCACAGTGTGTGGTGTGTTGCATCACAGTGTGTGGTGTGTTGCATCACAGTGTGTGGTGTGTTGCATCACAGTGTGTGGTGTGTTGCATCACAGTGTGTGGTGTGTTGCATCACAGTGTGTGGTGTGTTGCATCACAGTGTGTGGTGTGTTGCATCACAGTGTGTGGTGTGTTGCATCACAGTGTGTGGTGTGTTGCATCACAGTGTGTGGTGTGTTGCATCACAGTGTGTGGTGTGTTGCATCACAGTGTGTGGTGTGTTGCATCACAGTGTGTGGTGTGTTGCATCACAGTGTGTGGTGTGTTGCATCACAGTGTGTGGTGTGTTGCATCACAGTGTGTGGTGTGTTGCATCACAGTGTGTGGTGTGTTGCATCACAGTGTGTGGTGTGTTGCATCACAGTGTGTGGTGTGTTGCATCACAGTGTGTGGTGTGTTGCATCACAGTGTGTGGTGTGTTGCATCACAGTGTGTGGTGTGTTGCATCACAGTGTGTGGTGTGTTGCATCACAGTGTGTGGTGTGTTGCATCACAGTGTGTGGTGTGTTGCATCACAGTGTGTGGTGTGTTGCATCACAGTGTGTGGTGTGTTGCATCACAGTGTGTGGTGTGTTGCATCACAGTGTGTGGTGTGTTGCATCACAGTGTGTGGTGTGTTGCATCACAGTGTGTGGTGTGTTGCATCACAGTGTGTGGTGTGTTGCATCACAGTGTGTGGTGTGTTGCATCACAGTGTGTGGTGTGTTGCATCACAGTGTGTGGTGTGTTGCATCACAGTGTGTGGTGTGTTGCATCATTATCGTTATCATCAATGTATAATCGACGCCTTCATTTATTGGGGGCCTTTTAATGCCTTTCCATTTTACGTTCTCTTCAGGAACAAAAATGTCGACAAAAAACTTATTGCAAACCGTGACTATCTGAAGATAATCTTCTCAATTGAAACTTTACTTGAAGTTTAAAATTTATTTTCCAGTAATGGTATTCCATCTATTTTTTTCGGTATGTTATGTGTGACAGGGAATGTTTTTTATGAGTTATAAATCTTGAAGAAAATTTTTCTTAATTCAACATTATAAATGCCGCTACGTTTATGTATGAAAATTTTTAGAAAAGAAAAAATTATATATATCATCTGGCATCAAATTGATCAGTTATCAATCTTAAAAATTTAGCTCAACAAAATAAAAAATGGTTAAAACCTAAAAATTTTGAAAAAAATCAAGCACAATTTTATTTTATATCAAGCGGCATGGAACGATGCTCAGTTTAATTCTTCTTGTTAACATCAAATAATTCTGTTATTTATTGTTATTTTACTGTAATTTACTGTTTTATTGTAATTTACTGTTTTATTGTTATATCCTCCATTGATCTTCCAAACGGTCTACACTTGTTAAGTTAATATTCATGTATATATTGTACATCTCATTTTCGTCAATTGTGTAAATTTAATGTATTCATCCTGTGTTGATATCGTGTATATTTAATGTATTCTCCCTGTGTTGATATTGCGTACATTTAATGTATTCATCCTGTGTTGATATCGCGTACATTTAATGTGTTCATCCTG